CGTTGAGGTCTGGATTTTAATCTTAGTGTATATCCAGAATCCTTGAAGTTACAACAGTCTAGCCTTCTTTCACCAATTTATTTTGGGTACACTGCATCTTTGTCCCATCCTAGGGCCAATTATAACCCCTTATGGACTATGGAAAATGAACCTTAGGCACTCAAGAGCCTGTAATGATGATTTAGGTTGATTAGTGGGATCTATCTCCACTCTCCTCCCTAGTGTACTTCAGGCACCAAAGTTTATAAAATGGGCTCTGATAGCCAGCAATATTTATTGAGTGCTAGGGGAGAGAGCTGAACTGGAAATGAATGGAGACAGCTCTAGGTCTTGATCAGATTAATTTCATTGGCTGTTACCTTGAAGCTGAAGTTGTTAAAACTTTTTATATAGCAGTAAAATCTACTAGGGCTATGGCTGGCAGAAGCGATACATATGCTGCTGGACTATATTATCAGCAATTTAGATGCAGTTAGCTGGTAACAAAACCCACCTTATGCAGAGAATGACACCACTGACTTGATTAAGCACCATTGATTCACATTGAACACAGGCAGCCAGTTTGGTTCATTCAGGGGCTACTGGTGTGAAACAGGATAACTGTCTTTCCCCATCACTTATTTTAGATAAGAAAAAAAAACAAAAAAACACACAACACGACAAATATGCACCAGTCCTTAAGGTAAACACTGTACATAATGAGTGCAAGTGTTCATATGGAATCGGGAATAGATAACAGTTGCTTGAAGCCAAAACTGCATGAAAGAGCATTCAGATGTCATTAAAAATACTGCTCTTTGAGATTTACAGTTCTCTCCATCTTTCCCCAGTTTTTCTCTGCTTTTGAGACTTGGTAAAATCTTCAAAAGCCTGTAAGTGACTTAGGAGCTTTTGAAAATTTTACCTGTGTTCTCAACATGGTACAAATTATTACTGATATATATGTTGCACGAGTGCCTCATCTAAGCTCTAAATCAGTAGTTCTCAACCTTTAAAAAAAAAAAAGACTCAAGGCAGCCCACCTTAGACTCAAGACACCCCTTGGAAAATGCCAGTTCTTAGCTTTCACTTGGTTTTTGACTACAGAAAAATAACATTGCAATTCTGTTGCAAAGAGCTCAGAAAGACCACAGCAGGTCAGAATATTTTTTGATGCTATGGATTCCTGTTTGAAATCTCTGGGTTTATACTGTGAATTATGTTCACACGCTGAACAGTGCTAACTAATGTTGCCTAACACCCTTGAAAGGATCTTGTGGCATCCTGGTTGAGAATCACTGGTTTAAATCCTCTGAGTGTTACATCTCTGAGCCTGACCCTGTCCTCATCCATTTTATACTGGAATAACTCCACTGACGTGCATGGGGGATTTCCAGTTCAGCCCCCTGCAACTGGGAGCAACGTTCACCCCTCTTGATCGCATTGGGCCAGGGTTTTAAATTTCAAATGGGTACTCAGCAGGTAGAATGGTCTGTACAGTGAGATTTGCAGGGGAGGCTGGGGGTAGATTAGACATCTGGGGCTGGGGAGATTACATGAGGTGGGGAAGAATCTTCCCCCCCACCTTAAGGAGCAGGATTTGCTCTGCCTCTTCTGCTGGGTCATGATCCTCTCCCCGGCATGTCTGCCCGCTGGACTCTGCAAGGACCCTCCCTAACCCTTGCCTTTCCTTACCCTGCTCCAGATCCTGCTGGTCATACCAGGGCTCCTCTTCTTCACTTTGAAACTCCTCCATCCTGTCAGCACTCAGCATTAGCCCCAGCAATCCAGGGAGATGCGCAGCATCCACAGCACCCAGGTGGGAGGCTCTGCTCACGGGGGGATGGTGCAGGGGGGGACCCGGCTGGGGGCAAGGCTGAGACTGGCAGGTAGTGCCAGCTGGTGCTGAGGATGGGACAATGCAGATGCCCTTCTGTGCGGCTGGTCCCAATCTCCGCACTTGCAGCACCCTCTGGGTCCCTCTGGCTGCCTGTGCCGGGGAAGGAGGGGGGCCGAGACGTGGCAGTGGGGGCTCCAATCTGCCCCAGCCCTCGCTTCCCTTGGGTCCAAGCCTGACTCTGCGGAGGGCAGGATTTTTTTCTGGATTTACTGAGATCCTAGACTGCAAGGGAGGCGGGGAGAGGGCAGGGCTGCATCGGGCGCTCTGGGTGATGCACAAAAGAAAGAGGAACCTTCCCAAGCAGCCAGTTCCTGTTTCTGCAGCTCGGTGGAGACCTCTAGCATGGAATTGCTGCAAGAGAATCCACGCAGAAAGGCCCGGGAGGGGCGAATGCTCCCTGCTTCCCTTTCCTCTCCCTCCGTCTGCCACTCCAAGCTGAGGAAGCCCAGTTGCATTATAGCCAGACCCACTCAGGGCAGGGGCAGCACCCAGGCCAGGGCCAGCTGGCCACTCTGCAGCTGGCCTTGCCCAGACTGGCAGAGGCTGGGTGAAGAGTGTTGGCAAGGGAAAGCATGAGGCTCATTTGCCCTGGGAAGAGCCTTTCATGGCTATCTCACCTGCTGCCCACTCAGCAAAGAGCAGGTGTGGGTCCAACCTAGGCAGAGCAGGGCACTGCAAAGGCGGGAGCAGCTGCCAGTCACAGGAAGGCTGGGGGGAGCTGATGGGTGATGCAGGCTGAAAGCTGGTGGTGAGGTACCTGGTGGCTGCAAAACAGGTGGAGGAGAGAGTACTGGTGCTTGCTGCAAGGTGCCGTTCTGTGTGAACAGAGGGTATCGTACCCACCAGTGCACTGGGAGGGAATGGAGTGGGGACAAGGGGGCAGAGCCTGGTGGGCAAAGCACTGGGCTGGGACTCTGGAGATTTGAGAATCAATTTTAGCTCTGCTTCTTGCTGACGGGGCAAGTCACCAAGCCCCTGGGTGCTCCCTGGGCTGTAAATTGGAGAGAGCAATATTTCCCTTCCCTCCTTCCACCTTCTGTCATATCTCTTGAGATCAGGGGTCCCCCACCTTTGCCAGCTCATGGGCAGTACTTAACAAGTCACACTCTGTGGGCAGCATCAGACTCCGCTCTCCCTGACACCCTCCAGTTTAACCTTTAGCTCCCTGTTTTATGAACAATGTCAGAGGGCAAAGTGTTGCCTGCAAGCGATGGGTTAGAGATGACTGATTGAGGGCTTGTCTACATCACAGAACAGCTGGTACTAGGCTAGCTATGCTGTCAGAGCCGCCTGTCTGAGGTGGTAACATCTTCTGGCTGGTGTGTTTGTGGGGCCAGCATAATTTTACCATTTTTCCTTCTGACACTAGCTGAGCTAGCAAAAGTCCTCTTGTCTTGGTATAGCTGCATCCAGAGTGTGGGTTTCAGCAGTGCAGCTATATTGGCAAGGGGATACAAAGCCAACCTACCTATTCGGGCAAAACTTTGGTCTATACAGCAGTGTAATCATTAGGCTCTGATCTCAAGACAGAGACAGTCCCACTGTATCAAATGTATAGTGCCCAACACAATGGCATCTTTCCAGTCTTGGGCTTCTGGGAATTATAGTAATTAGAATAAAGAAATAGTTAATAGGAAGCGTTAACATGTAAACAACCCCACCCCCTAACTCCATGTACATCAGACCATCTTGCATCTTGCTGGTCCTCTTCTAGCTCCATACCTCCTTGGCATATTAGTTGCTTTTCTTGTGCACAACCACTGAAGGAGCACTCAGTGCAAGTGCTTCTACTTTACCACTTACACACACTCAAGTACAAGCTTATATCTAATTCTGATGTAAATCACCGGTTGTGTCTTTGCTGTATTTGTCTTAGAGCTTTCTACTGGAGCTGTACCCAATTCCGCTGAGGTTTGGTATTTTTATTTTTCAATGTACTCTTCTCCCCAACTCTCCCCTCCCCATTGTTCTCCTTTTAATCCCATTCTGAAGTTTGGGCAGATCACTTAAAAACCAGGCCAGACATTACCTTCACTGCTACTCTGGACAATTGCCTCTGGAGAATGAGCAAATGTAGGGCAATCAAGCAATTAGGAGAGCCTCAGGGTCAAGTTCTGTATGCTGGTCTACTGTTTTGCTGTGCTGCCAGCTGCTGGGCTCAATTGATTGTAAGCTGTTTGGGGCTGGGAATGGCCTTTTTTGTTCATTATTTGTATAGTGCCAAACACAATGGAGTCCTGGTCCCTGACCAGAACTCTGAATTGCTACGGTAATAATCAGGACTCGTGGTGGAGGTGATCTCTTTTATGAAACCAACTAGATTTTTGCAAAAAAACAAAAAAATTCTTTTTGAAAATTCTTTTTTGCAAAAATCTAGTTGGTCTCATAAAAGAGATCACCTCTACTATGAGTCCTGATTGCTTTTTCCTCTAGACCAATATGACTACAACCTGGATACCTAACATATGGTAATAAATAATGCCACTCTCTGGGCTTGGGAGTAGCAATGTTGAGTCCCAAGCTATAGAAGTGCCTTGCCTTGCTCTGTCTAGTTAGATAAGGAACAGAATAGCCAGGATCTGAAGGGATCTTCTGATTCTCCTTGCTAGAAGCAAATGATACAAGGTCTCAAGAGAGGATGGAGAAAAATGAGGATTTTTAGAGGCCTGATAAGGCATCAGAGGAGGGTCTGGGAAAAGGAATCGTATTCATGAGAAAGGCTGGGTATTTTGATGCCTGCTTCTGAATTCCAGGTACCAAATTCATCCCGGATAGAAGTGGATGCCTCTGGACTACAGCCAGTTGAGCTGGTACTGCTTGCCAGCACTGAATTTGGGCCACCAAGAGGTCACCAGTCACTCCTGAAAGTGATGCAAGGCTTGCGACCAAAGATACCAAGGGGCTGAGGGAAAGATGTGCTTGGAGGAAGTCACGTTTTTAGTACAGAAGAATTCCCTGGCTCCGTGTTTGACCACATCACATACAAGACTGACTTAGAGTAGCCTGTGGAAAGGATGGGGTAAGATGTTGTAAGAGCAGCAGACAGTTCCTCATCCCAAGAAAGCTGTCGTGCATATCAGAAAAGTCTGGCTAGTCCACTGGCAGGATCCAGAGAGAGACCTCAACTTCATTCATGGATCCTGGCAGGCAGTGATGCGGAAGGGAAATAAAGAAGGGAGGAGTAAGGAAACCCTGGATAATTTCTTCCTTATTTTTCTCCAACACACTAAAATGCAGTAGGTGATTTGTAAGTCTCCTTCTTTTTAGTGGTGCTGCAGGCCTGGATCATGGAGTATCCTAAAAAGGGGGTTGTTAGTTTTCTGCACTTAGTTAACGTGGGCCCTTCTGACCTCCCTGGCTACAATTACCACGGATCAGCGGATGCATTTTAAGTGCCCCGGTCTTCTGTAACTCGGTGTAGATTCACATGTCTGTTCCTACCCTCGGGCAAAGCTAGTGTTGCCAACTTAGCAATGTTGTCCCTACGTGTGCCAACTTTTTGTGGTTCCTCATGACAAAATGGATCTTTTAAGGACTCTTACCCATTCCTTATGTGTTATACTTGATAAATTGCAGGGGTTGGCAACCCTTTTGGAGCAGTGGGCTGAAGTAACACAGACTGGTTTAAGGTGGGCTGGTGCTTCCACCTTAGAAGCAACCAAGACTTTTCTCTACTTGTGGCAGTCCCTGGCAGAGAAATACCACTGGATTGCCCCCTACCACTGAAGTGCCACTTCTATGCAGGTTTTATGGGCCAGATGAAATGGCTTAGCTGGTCAGATCCAGCCCACAGGCTGTGGGTATTGCTAGATGCCTAGTCTAGTAATATTTTTATGAGATTTACAGGGCCTACCTAGCAACACACGGTAATTTTTTTCATTTGTTTAGTCTGGTGAGTATCTGCTTTTGGGAAGCAGTGATACTGCTCAAAGCCCTTTTTGGAATCAATCAGCCTTAGGGTCAGATCTCGGGGAAGGCTGGGGGGTGGGGAAACATGCCCCCCACAATCTTCTTCCTGCTGGATTCATCGCATGCATCTATTCAGCACAAATACAATTGCTTCCTGGACATGAAGGATTTCCCGATGAACAGTGGCTAGATGGTGCTGTTGATAAAGTTTGTACCTGACAACAGCTCCATGTATTCCATTTTTAGAGGTTTTTAAGACCTGGGTAGACAAAGCCTTAGCTGGGATGATATAATTGGGGATGGCCCTGCTTTGAGCAGGGGATTGGACTAGGTGTGACCTCCTGACATTGGCGATGCATAGGGGGTGCACGTGCACCCCCTGAGTGTGGTGGTGCACCCCCTGTGATCGCCACTGCTGGTGGCATCTGCTCGCCGACTGCTGGTTGGCACTTGCCACCCTGCCCTGCTGCCAACACTGCCGCAGCTGCCTGCGGGAGCTCCCCACTTGCTACCACCACATTCCCACTACCACCAGTGCTGCCGCTGCCTGTGGGAGCTCGCCATGCTCCCCCAGCCTCTGGGGGCACGCGGTGCTCATGCCTCCTGAGGTCCCTTCCAACCCTCATTGTCTATGATTCTGGGTGGGGGAGGCAGAGAGCAGCCTACACAGACAGATGGAGATGAGAGGGATGTTCTGGGGGGAGAGGGTAAAAGAAACAGAGGCTGGGCTGAAGGTGAGGGGTACTGAGGTCTAAGAGTTGTATGTAAGAGCCCAGGTGCAAGGAAACATGTCCTGGGTGAGAGAAGAGAGGGCACACAAGCCACAGCCCCCTGCTGTACCTATGGCAGACCTTGCATTGTGTCAGGCTTGGAGGAAGCTTTATCGGATGGTTTGCATTTTTTTTTTTAAAGAAATTTTTCATGTTCCAAGCCAAATCAAGTCCAAATCCGCAAGTCAGTCCAGAACCCCACATGGCCCCTACAACCAGCAAACATCCTCCACCCCTACCAGGGGCTTCAGATATTTCCAAAATCCTTTGGTGGGCATCCTACGTGCAGGCCCAAACCTAGAGGCTCAGGGTTCGGATGCCCCTGAGTTTCTCCAGCCCTCAGCCATATGGCCGCAGGTGCCTCCCATTTCCATTAAGTGGGCTTGAAGCCCCAACACCTTGGCGGGTACCGAACCGCGCCAGAAGAACAGCTCTCCCCGGGAACGCGTAGGGAAAACTGCCTTCTCAGACCCCATACAGGCAGCCCTCGACTTACAATGTTTCAAGTTACAATGTTTCGCACTTACAACATTTCTAAATTGACACCCTGTTTTAACTTTATGACATCAGCTTTGACTTTACAACGTTTGATCTGACGTGACGCCACGCCAGCGAACAAGTCACTGTGTCACCCATCTCCCTGGAGAACAGCTGTCCAAATGTCCTTGGACACTTTCTTTAAGAAAGCAGACAAGACTCAAGAAAAACCTGCAGCCAGGACTCCCGAGAAGACTCCAGCCAAGAGCCCTTCAAAAAGTCCAGCAAAGTCACCTCAAATAAG